AAAAAAATATATATTATATATAGAAAAGCTGTTTAAAAATGGCAGGTGTAATTCTGCTGGGGGGATAGATCTACACTCCAGCAGACCTAATGGAAAGACCATCACCCCCCTGCCTCGCAAGCACTAAAACATCTTCCCCTATCAATTAAAAAAAAAAAAAAAAGAAAGAAAAAAAACAAACATACTCCTGCTTTCCTGAACCTTCCATGGAACACAAGTGGTAAAAGAGAGGTGGGACCACCCCCCCTTTCCCCAAATACCAGTCGATAGCCTAACCCTCCTTATCCCAGTGCACCATGAGACAATATCTCTTAGAAGAGTGACCAGAACTGCCCCCCCTCCTGCACACATACGCCCCCTAGCTGAAGAGCTTGATGAAGCAGGTCTGACAGTAGGGCTTGTCGTTCTGCTCCTTGAAGGTGCCTTTGTTGAGCTGCTTGAGGCAGAAGGCGCAGACAAAGTGCTCGGGGTGGAACTTCCTGCCCATGGCGGTGATGCAGCGGCCCGTGATCGGCTTCTGGCAGCCGGAGCAGAGCGAGCCGCGCCGCTCGTGGTAATGCGACTCGCAGTACGGCTGGCCATCATGCTCGAAGAAGCTGCCATTCACGAAGGGGGTGAAGCACTCCTGTGAAGCGGGGGGGGGGGGTCAGCATCACGCATAAGCCTCACAAAGCCCCCACACATTCTACAAGCGGCAGCTAAACCCCCCTCTCATATCTCTCATATGACCCCTATATTTTTAATAAGGCTCACATATGCCACGCTATGGGCTCGTGGGAGTTTTATTTGCTCAAAAATGTTCTGAGGGCAAAACAAAAAATGATTGGTTGACAGAGATAACCAATCAGATTGTAGAGGAGGTGGGACCAAGACATCTGATAGGTTGGTCCCGCCTCCTCTAGTTGCTTGTAGCCACCTCCTTTACAATCTGCTTCTCTCTCTGAACCAGCCATTTTTCAAATTCCTGTGTTCACTCATCCCCCTACACCACACAGTGCTTCTGGCCCACGTGCACAAACGGACAAAGACACACACATGCACACACTTACCCTGCAGACAAAACACTCCGGGTGCCAGAGGGCATTGAGGGCAGAGATGTAGTTCTCCAGGATGGCGCGGGAGCACCCGCCACACTTGGGTGCAAACATATCGAAGTAGTCCTTGCGGCAAAATGCCTTCCCGTCTTTCTCATGGAAGCCTACAGGGGGCAGTCAATGTAGCCAATAATGCAAAAGCATTAGTCAGGACATAAATTCATTTTATTAAAAAAAAAAAATCCAAATCGAAAGACATTTACAATCGCAGAATCTGAATTACAGCTTTTATGAAGAACAAACACTCTGCAGCTCTTACAGGCTTCACGTTAGTCACTCTGGCCAATTAATACTGCAGTGCTTTTGATAACAGACACATCAGCAGAGGAAGCAAGAGGAAGAAAAAGTACAAAAAAAAGCGAAAAAAAAAAGAAAAACAGAAAGAGGTCAGGCCAGTACATGTCACATGACTCTGTTCCACAAAGACCATGTGTTGTGCTGGGGGATTTCCTCAAAAGCTCTGGAAATGGGTCAGGCCAGCTAACAGCTGGCTAATGCCCAGATTCAGCAGCGGAATGGGGCTCAAACTCAGAATGAATGGGACACTCTGGGCCTGGGGGGTGTCCCACGGAGGCAGGCAAAGTGCACCTTTGCGAAAGTGACATATTTTCTGCCCAGTTACATGGATATTTGACGGGAGCTTTCCAGATTAGGAGTCTTTCCCCTGAGGCTATAAGAGCGGAGCCTCCCTCTCCTGGCATCTGGGATGTGCCCTTAAGCACCAAGCTTATGACCCAGTTTGTGCTGCCTGGAAGGCCGAAACCTACCCTCGGGCCCGAAGAACGATCCGCACTGGGCGCAGAAGAAGTGCTCCGGGTGCCAGGTCCGATCCAGTGCAGTCACTACTTTCTGTGAGTGGGAGAGAAGCATGGAGTGAGGTCCAGAGAAGGTGCCGGAATACCCGCAGGACAGAAAGATACCAGTGTGTTAAATGGCCCATTAGCGTTCACATGAGGAACACTGATCCAGAAAATCTTTAAAGCAACCAAGTTTCAAATCAACTCGATTGTTAGCCACACTGTGAAGAGATGGAAACCAGTAGGCTTCCAAGGCTTCCCAGTCTCAGGCCATAGCGTGCTGGTGACGCCACTATCTACCAGGCTAATCCACGATGCATCAACATCAGCGCCGGCCACCAGAGGGCAGTGTCGCGTCACATGAGACTGTGGTGACGGCTGTAGAACTGGAACGATGAAATGATTAGCTCATGTTTTCCAGATTGCACCAGATTCCCAAACAATTTAAAAACAATAGGCTTGACAACACTTAACCCTTTATCAACAGTCAACAGTAGGCCAACAGAGTGAGAGCCAGTGATTAAAAACCAGCAGTAGTTAGGAAAACGTGGCATTCTGCTGCGGATGAATCACTGACAGTGACGTCGGGCCAAACCCAAGGCCAAAGTCCATCGTCTGAATCTCCACCCGGAAAAGCACGTAGGGCGTGTATCACTCAAGCGTCCCAGGACACGAGGGGCCGAGAGAGACAGGTGTGTTTACACCGGTGTGCGGGTGCGTTCGGCCTGTCACTCACGTCCAGGATGGGGCCGTTGCAGTAGTAGCAGCGTGGCGAGAAAAGGTCGTGATAGTCCTTCTCGCAGAAGGGCTGTCCGTCTCGCTCGAAGAAGTTGCGGGAGCCGATCTCCTCCTGACAGTGCGTGCACACGAAGTGCTCTGGGTGCCATGTCCGGCCCATCGCCGTGACAACCTGGGACAGGAGCGGCCGGTCAGTACTGGGGGTCATGCTCGAACGCAGGGACAACCTTTAGCTTGACTGGGAGGGCAAGAATCACCCAGTAAATACCAGCTGTGCCAAAGGAGGTCTGCGCTGACTGGCATAATTACGCCATTTATATCAAGCCAAAAAAAAAAAACAAAAAACCAGATGCTGGACTGTAATAATTGTTTTGCATGACTGTGAAACTTTGAGGCTGTGAAGAGGAAGCCGTGTGGAAAACGATGTGAAGACACAGCCCCCGACGCACTGGATGATGTCAGAGATCAGGTCAGACCCCTCCCCCCAACATTTAGCGGAATCAATTATGTAGGAGAGAAAACCACCATAGAGAGAACTGGGAACCACTGCCCCTTCGTTTTATGGTCAAAAAGAAAAGCACTTTGTTAGCAGTTATCTATTATGTCAATTAGCCTTGACGGTGGAACCTCGCTGTACAAACATCCATTTGTTTTTGAGTGAGCGTAATGTTTTTCCCCCGAGGCCATACGGCATCCCACTGCATAATGCACACTGGGCATCAACACAACACAAAGATCAATTAAAGGGACGGGGGCCTGCCCACCTGGCCGGCGATGGGCTTCTTGCACGCACCGCACACGCCCTTGGCCACCGTCTGCACACCCAGCCGGTTCAGGTCCGACTGCAGGCTGCCCAGCATGTTGTCCAACTTGTTCACCTGCTTGATGGGGCCGCTAGGGGGGGCGGCGCTTTTGCCCTGGGCCATGATCTGTGAGGGGAGAGACAAAGCAGGTCAAGAAACAGTGTGGAACCCCCTTCTGGACCCCCGTTTGTGCCATGTAAGCACAAACATGTTACACTACAATGTGCCATTAAACTGACCACACTGGATCACACAGAAGACACAACGGCGAGCATCAACGAGCCTCCTCCCCTCATCCCCCACCACATTTATCTGACCTGAACCCAAAACCCCAACCTGCCAACAACGGTGGGGCAGCTTCCTCTGTGGAACGAGGAAGAGCCTTTCTGATGCACAATAGCTAATTCCTTGAAAATGTGCCACTCGATCAATTATTCTTCACTTAAATTTTATCAGTACTGAACATTCGACAAAAAAGGGGCCTCAAACTACATAGGAAAAATACGAATGAATATGGATCTCAGAGGAGCGACACCCCCAGCTTCTGGTAACTCCTGCAGCGTCAGTCACAGGAGGCGCACGTTAGCGGAGAGGTAGAGAAACGTTCACCACACCTCCACCCGCCCTCCCCAGCACCACGGTGAGGCAGGATCAGGCAGGCTGCAGGGTCAAAGGTCTGCAGTGCAAATCGCCTGCAGTCAAAAGCCCCCCCCCCCCCCCCCCAGGTAGAAATGGCACTGGCCACGGAGAAATCTACGCACTTCAAATCTTCACCCAATTTGAACGAGTACGTTTCTTTTAAACAAGAGAACACACCAACGCTTGATGGTACCCGGAAAGTCCGAAGGGCCGATCACCTGGGAGCCGTGAACGAGTTGGGAGTCACAGAAGTCCGGACACACTCACAGTATGACATTTAAGCACCAGCTCAACTACTCATATCACATCATCCCACAAAGCGTTTGCAACAAAAGTTAATACGGGGTGTCAAACATTACACAACTGGCAGCCAGCAGGGCTGACAAACAAATGCACACACATCCCTCTGTGAGCAGAACAGACCAGCTGTGAAGCCTCAGATGTCATACTCTCTAGACAAACAGCAGACCATCTTATTATGGAAGCCTTACAAGCTGCCAAATCCAATCACTGTTATTCTAAGTATTTGGAGAACTAACACCAGGCCATAATTAACACATTCCAGCTTTGGCGCTAATGAACAAATGGGCCCAGAGCCTATTACAGAGCTTCCACGGGACAGACATATGGGAACAATGTGTTGTCGTGGATAGTCTTTGTTGCCTCAAATTAACCACATAGGTTCTGTAATTGAATACAAAAAAAAAAAAAAATTCATGAGTCATCCAATGATCCCTTTTACAACCTCGGATATAAAATGAACAAAGACTTCACACCACGAACCAACTTCACACAGAGTTGGTGCTGAAGCCAAGAATTCACCATGGGATACAGATAACACAACACAGCAGCTAAACATAACACAGACAGATAGCTACAGAGAGAGAGAGAGAGAGAGAGAGAGAG